TCAAACACGCAGGAGGGAAGCGATTGCCGTCCTCCCCTGCGTGCCCGTGCTTTAGGTGCTGACTCGGGGAGGATCCGTGGGGCAGGCACCGGCGGCAAAGAGAAAAAGGCTCGCCTTGCTTTACACACTCACACACGACCTCAAAACATAGTTTTCCAGGTCTAGCCTCGGATTCCTAATGCAGCCAGGAAATCCAGCTCGGGTCTCCAGTATCTTTCTGAGGTGGTTCTGGGCTTCGCTATTAGACATATCGGGTCACCAGCATCGTTTCGATGGCTGTAGGGCCCCTCAAAATGCGGCTCTGCAGTGAGCCAGTCGAGGTTTAACACCATTTTCCGTTCAGAAACGACTGAGACTGAAGTCGGACATGACAGAAGCAAGCTTCAGCCTCCCTCACGCCCTGGAGCACGCTGGCTTTGCGAGCAGATGTTTTTTTCGCCACCACCCCCGAAGCATTCACAGAAACATTAGTCATTTGATGTCACTGAGCCCCTGTGGAACATAGGATTAACCTGACTTCCCAAAATCTAACTAAGCAAGCAAACACCGCGGGAAAAACTGTCCAACCTTTTGCTGATGGTTTAGTGTGACACAAAAGGAAGCTGAAGAACACGACTGACACATCGCCCTTAACACCTTCATTATTGCCGGAAAGTTCCTGGTGCTGGGCACAGCAGTTTTACTTACGGCAGCTGTGTACCGCGGTCTCCTTGCTGCGCCTTTGGTTGATTACTCTGAAAATCATTCACGCCTTCGGCTTCAAAAATCAATGCTCGAATCAGTAGAAATAACCAGATTAGAACAACTCGGTCTAATTTCGTGTATGCGTCTTCGTTGACTCACTGTGACTTTTCGAGAAACAGTCTTTCTCGTTTGCCTCTGAAATGGGATGATAAACTCATACCCTTTTGAGTACCTTGCTGCACGGCGCTTTGATTGGATGTAATGAAGGCAAGAGAAAAAATTAAATTAGTATTAGCGCTCATAAATAATTGTGACCTGGTTACAAGAAAATACATTTATCTTTATATATGTAAATTCAAAATGTATACAGGTGCTGCAGCACGCTGTAAGGCGCGGTGATCTCCGTGCGCAGGGCGCTCGCAGCCATCCGGGATGCGGGGTGCGGGATGCGCTGCCGGGCGCCAAGCGGCTCCGCTCGGGGCTGTCCTGCGGGAGGCACTGCGCCCAGCCCCTTCTGCTCGGCCCACCTGCGGACGGCCCTTCCTCACCTTCTGCTCCCTAATCGGGTTAAACCCTTCAGCAGAAATAAAGAAATCAACGAGTGAACCAAGCGAATGCTTCACATACAGCCATATAATCTCTCGTGTGAGGGTGGGCGCTTCATGGGCACCGGGAACAGACATCTGGCTCTGGGGCGTCAGTTTTCTCAAACGATTAGAGGGGAAATGGTGCGAAACCGGCTGTGTTTCGTGATTTGCAAAACCAGTTCGTGCCTGGAATGGACTCTGCCTTCCCGGAATCCCGGCTGGACGGGCCATTTGTTTCACGCCGCCGGTGGGGAGGGGGAAGCGGAACGCGGGCGCTGCGCACCGAGTGCTACCGGGGATGACCCGGGGCTGCCAGCGGGGCGTCAGGCAGGTTCAGCTCTGTCGCCGGAAGGTGTGCGGGTACACCCGGGCACACCCCCGCACACCCGGGCACACCCCGCACACCCGGGCACACCGCCGCACACCCCGCACACCCGGGCACACCGCCGGGCACACCCCGCACACCCCGCGGGTACCGGTGTTACCGGGGCCGGGCGCGGGGCCACCTCGTGCGCGCGGGCCGCTGTGCCACGTGCCCGCGGGCGGCGGCGCGAGGCGGCCCCGCGCGCTCAGCCCTGAGGGGAGCCCTGAGCGCTGCCTCCGCCGCGCGGGGAGCCGCCCACAGCCATCGTCCCAGGGCCCTCCCCACGCCGAGAGGAGCTGCTATCTCCAGTAACAGCACGCTGAACAGAGGTGAAGGGGCTCGGCTCTTATTCTTGGTTTACTGTGTAACGTGTGTGCCGCAGCTCAGTAACCTTTGAGGTGGTCTTGCCTGTGCAGCGGCCATCGTGTGACATGCAAGAGCTCTGTGACAATGCCAAATGTTCTGTGTCCCAGGGTGGAAAAAGCCAAAACCCAGGCCCTAAGTTGGCGGCGGGCTGTAATTCGTGGGCAGTGTAGGGCTCAGTTTTAACGGAGCTGCTCTAATGCTTCCCCCAAAGGGAGTGTGGTATCCCAAGTTAATTTGGTAAGATACAGTTGAATACAATGATAAGTATACGATTGCTACCCCTTGGTGTCAAAGGAGGGGAAGAAATAAGAGGAGGGATTTAAAGTAGGGTGTGATTGTATTATAGTCGTGCTTAAAACTGAAGAGCTATTGAATGTAATTCATTGCACTCTTCACAGCAGCTGCCTGGTGTCACTCTTAGAGCTAAGATAACATCAGATAAGGCGCCAAACCTGACGGGCTGCAGGTGAGATCTTCGATCAGAAGTGATGAGATACTTCACAACAGGAATCTGAAGACAAGGATTTGACAGGTTAGCTGCTTGGTACATAGGGGAGGAGATGTAGTTTCTTGTGTGTGGAAGTCAGGATTGGGAGAAGGCAGCAAAGAGGGTGATACTGGGGGGAACTCGTGCAAGTGATAAAACTTGGGAGCACAGTTATGCAGAACAGTTTCACTATGAGAAGCTGCTAGAACTTGTAGTAGCATGCATTCTGTTGGGAAGTGTGTCTTTTTTAATAACTTTTTTTTTTAAATCTATTTTTAACATGATGCTTATTATTTATTTTTTCTTCCACCATCTTGTTCACTGCCTTCTTTATGGTTCTCCTTGTGGCATAAACACATGATGTAAACATGGGAGAAATTAATCAGTGATTTTGATTGGTTTTTCCAGCAATCAAAAAAAGTGCCAAGTAACTTCTGCTGCTCTCAGAGCAGATTAGAAAAGTAATGATCCCTGTAAGCACAAACTGGGGAGGGAAAGTGACAGTATGCTGTGGTGTTGAAAGCTGGGATGAAAAGAACATAGACTATGCAAAATGGTCTCATCGGAATTTTAGTTCTCGTAGTGGGACTGTAGAAGTTTCAGTCACTTGGGTAGTAGTGTACAATTCTAAGAGTATGCTATACTGCTTTTGTTTTTCCTAACTGTGAAATAAGGTATTAGTTCCTGGAAAGGGAGAGTGTTAAGCTGTTGTATCTTAGATCTAGCGTTGTATCTTAGTAGTCAGTCAGTGCCCGGGCATGCGTAGGTATGCATATGTAACATGTTTTCTCCACTCTGAAGCTGAAACTCCATGCTATAGAGAGGTTATGTTGAGAGTCAATTTACTGTGTATTTCCTATTATTCAGAATGTCGGGTTCTAAAGCCTACTGCGGAAATGTATTTCACCAATTTTTCTTATGTCTTGGACTGGTTTGAAACAAAACAACAAAAAAATCCCAACCCCAAACCAAAAAACTCCATCACCAACCAAAATCATCAGAGAATTACAGAAAATGTGCTGATGTAATTACAACGATAGAAGTATTTCACAGAACAAACATGTACTTAATTGAATCTAGAAATCTGTTAGTTATACATAGCTTTTCTTTTCTCTCAATACACAGAATTGGTAGCTGGTGCATCACTGAACATAACACCATAGTTTCCACATAGACTGTACAAACCTCTGTCTTACAGGTTGATTTTTTTTAGTCTCCAGGACTAGCCTAATGGCTCTCCTAGGGGATTTGTATTATCCTCTATCTTCTCCTGAAATGAGTTACATTACTTGGAGCCTCGACAGGTAAGAGAATTAGCAGTACATCCCATATAAAATGTGGGTATTTTTATGCTAACATATGTCTAGGTCATTCTGGCTTAAAACAGAAATGTGTGAGCATCAGGTTTCACTAAATCACTAACAGAGTCTCTGATATAGAACAGTAATTACATTAAATACCCCAGAAAATCACACACTACCTTCTGAGTTGCAGTTCTAAAAAAGGGTTGAGTACTGATCAAGATCAGTAGTGCAGAATTTACAAAGTGGTTTTGTTAAATTTATGCAAACTCCTACGTGAATGCTTCTTTTAATCACTTTCATAGCAATTTATTTAATAAAGGAAATTGCAGATACAGTTGAAAATTGAATTTAGTGGACAGTAGTACTTTGTGGATGTGTATGTAGATGAGGCCTGCTTTTTGTTTAAAAAAAAAGTGACCAATGAGAATAAAGAGTTGTTGAGCTGTGAATGTAATACATGCTTCTTATCTTCACTGATGTACTTTCTCCCAAATAGTCATGTTCCAAATTTTTCACAAATGTTACAAAGCTTCTAACATATGAAATGACTTAAGTAAGAAGAGGTCTAACCATAAATGCTATTAGTGCTTAAAATACTCATAAGAAAATGCAAATTAATTAGTGAAGGCGTTTGATTATCAGATTGGGGAAATCAGAACCATTTTCACTACATAAAATTGTAATTTACAATTACATAAAATGTAATTTACACGTAAACCCCATACATAACAGGACATCCCCCTTCCCTGTTTCACCTCTCTTCTCAGCTGCAGCACTTATATATTCAAGAATCTTGAGTTTTCATGTTTATGTGCTTTTTTTAACCTTATGATTTTAACGTTAGCATTGAGCTTTTCCAGCCTGCATTTTAAAGCAAATCTAAGCAATCAGCAATGTTTGTTAGAAGGTCATGGTACGTAGCATAATTAATGTTTTATTTATTGACAAATATATTTTTATGCTGTTAATGACTTGACAATATTCTCATGCATATTCAAATTATAATACATATAGCAAAGAGATTAGTGTCTTTTTTTTTGCCAGAAGAGTTGCGGAAAAAGCAGGACGGTGCTGAGCAGCCTGTCTTGTGCTGTCTTCCTAGCATAGTCTGTGTATAGCCAAGTCTTCTGAAACTGCAGCATGTCCAGTGACTTGTTTTTATCACTAGATGTAGCTGGTCGACTTCTGTATTTCTTTTAATATTTTTATTTATGCTGTTCTTCAGTATCAGTATTTATTCTGTACTTTAATACCACAAAAGTTCAGGAAATAAATCTTGCCAACTAATCTCATTTGCTATCACTTGAACATTAAGGCAGTTATTGCAAAATCATAACACTTCACTGTTCAAACAGAGAGGATTTTTATGGCTCTTCAACTGAATTTTGTGCCTGCCACTTATTACAGAAGATTACCTTTAAGAGAGGCTTGCAGCTGGTATTGATGACAGGCAACAAGACATTTGTCACCTATCCTCTTGGGCAGCAATGATCCAGGTGCAAACTTAAGTTAGCAGATGCTCGTTGGAAGCAAAAAGACAATCGTTACTCATTTGTGAACAAAATCTGGTTTTACACACCTAAAATTTTCAGCAGGGATAAGAATCAGTCAGCTAATCCACCTGAGAGATGGCAATTCCCACAGGCTATACTGGGAACAACATAATCAGTAGTAGGATGTGGGGAAATTTTGCACAAATACTGAAGCAAATTAGGAGCTGCAGACATCAGTAATTTGGAATTTGTCACCTACCTGCTTTAAGATGTAAATTAGATGCACCTGGGCAGATACTACAGATGAGAGAGGCCCAGAATGTGCTACTTCCATGCAGCCTTCTCTATCATTCTTTGAAAATGTGTTAATCTCCTCACTCGTGCTGTTTGTTTCTGAAAACACATTCCAAGTAAAGGGAAAGGAAATGCCTCATGGGCCTGGCAGATGCATTCAGCAGTTTGCTTCCACACTTCTGCAGTTTTAAACAACTACACTGCTGCTTGTGAGTAGCAAGACAGTTAACATACATGCTGCCCATCAGTACCAGTTGCAAATATTGCTAAAAGAAGTCTTAAGGATTGCTTAATTACATAACGTGGCAATAATGGAATATTAAGAATATTCTTGACTAGAATGTGTCTGAGAGGGCAAGTAAGTGTTCATATGACAACAGGAGAATATGATGAGGGTAAAGCCATTTTACTGGATCTCAGTTTTCAGGAGATTGAAAGCAGAATGCTCAGCTCAGCTCTCACTGCTTTGCTCAATCGCAGCTATTTGGTGACAGCACCAATAACTCACTTCCTACATAGGTCTGCAATATAAACTGTAAGAAGAGTGAACTTACATATTTTACACTGCATTGACCATGTCTTCATTAGAACTGAATAATTTTTCACCTTATTTGAACCCATCTAGAGGCCACAAGTGACTATGTGGTAACCAAGGACTGTAGCTTGGAAGTGACTAAACAGTAAATGCTGCAACCTTGTTAAATCATGAAAAATTTATTTTCATTACATATACATGAAGGTAAAAGATTTCAGTCAATAGTGTTTTGAACAAGCATTTCTGACATGAGCTTGTTAGTGTAGCTAGGCTGAAACTGAATGTAAAGTTAGTGTTTTGCCTTTATTTAGTAATTCACTTCTAGTGTGTATATACAGAATTCATTTTCCTGTTAGAATACCAGAGACAGTAATATTGCAACATTTACATTCCTTATATAAAATGGTGTAATGTACATTTTCAGCTTGGTGTAGATATATAAATATGTACAAAATAAACATTATTGTAATTAATATATTTCAGACCAGTTATTATTTAGCAACATCAAAAGCAGATGCACACAGATTTAAGTGAAAATGGTGAAAACACCTTTATGACATTAGTGACCATTATTGGCATATATGAAGTACTACAGATAAAGGCTTCTCTTTCAAGCCTTCTGTGGGCATCCAGTAACTTCAGTAAAAAACCAAAAGTAATTGAGAAGCATAAGGTAATTTTATATATATATGTGTCATGATCAGATGGTTTACTAGGGTCCATCTTGATCACAAAAGGATAACAATGTAAAACATACACTTTTGTTCAGAGCATAAAATATTGCACAAAAGCAATTTCTCTTGAGGAAAATAATTGCCGTGTTTGTGAACAGCAAAAATGGTTCTTATGCACTTAAGAAATAATATATTTGCAGTTTCCAAACCAAAGAACATTCAGTAATACTGTCAGAACTGTCATCCATCAGCTTCTTCCCAGCCTGTTTTATGGCAATGGTATGTCATTAGCAAGATTTGGCAAAGAGAGAAGGCAGACAAACAGTACATCTATATTCTTATCACAGGCCACACCAGATCCAATAGTTGCCTAAGCTCACTGCTGGATGGTTTCAACTTCAGCCTTAAAGAACTAGGAAAGTCTTCAGTGCTCGTCACAGTGATAATCACACAGTAGTAGAGTAAGATTCCCTTCTTCTCTGCTTAGAAACCATCTTGTCTGAATTCCCAGTCTGAAGGGCACTTTCTTCAGTATCACTGTCACTGCTGTCTACAAGTGTGTGATCCAAAGCCATCTGACCAGTCCTTCTGGGTAGATGAAAGTTCACCCCACTCTCCTGTATGGAGTTAGTTATAAAATCTTCATCAGAAGAATGAAATGATTCATCGTCTCCTGTGAAATGGTTGACAATGTGAATCCCATCAAAAGTGGGTTGGTCTGAGAAGTCTCTCTGGCCTTTTAGACATTTGATCTGTTCAAAAAAATGGAAATTAACAGTTAATCAGAGCTCAAGAGGCCAGTAGTAAAAAAACCCCAAACAACCAAAACCAAACCAAATCAAAAAACCAAACACATTTTCAAGAAATGTATCACTGAACTCTTAGTGGATAAAATTAAATGCTAGATCTGGAAGTAGCATGTTTGATGATCACTTCAAGTACTACAGTTTTAAGGCTTAATAATGAAGGTACCTAGAATCGGTAATGACAGATTCCTCTATTTACTGCATCTTTAATATCCCCACAAGGATGGTTTCTATCTTCTAGAGTGGCCTATTTGTTTTGACAGGACTTTTGGCCTTAACACCTGCTTTTACAGGTCCATTCTCTCCTGTATGACCTGACTTCTCATTTGAGAAATCCCTTCCCCTATTCCAAAGAGCGGGGTCCCAAGTGAATATTGCCAGTTTCACACAACACAGAAGAAAATCCCAGAGAATATGTTTAGTTCTGTCTACACTGCAAGGTTGTCTTAACTATCTAGTTCAGATCCAATGAGATTTCAGATCAAGCAGTATGAGAGAAACATCTCTTTGTCAGCATAAATAGATTGTAGTTGCAATTTTAAGAGAACATCAAACAAGACAAAAATGACTGTCAGACCATAGACAGATAACATTTTAATTCAATGCACTATGGAGTGATACACTATTACAACCATGCATACAAGCTATTCAAAACTAAAATCTAAAGTGCTGAAGTCTCCTGTTAATTTAATGAAAAATAACTCACGGACGACATTCCAGAGGTGGGTTGGTTTTGTGGTGTTTGTTTGTTTTATAATTTCAGTTTTATTAGCTTTTAGTAGCAACTGTCCCTCAGGGTCAGTTTAACAGTGTAAGAGTATTAAGATAAAAAATCCTGAGGATGGAGAAAAACATTAAAAATGGATTACAGAACCTTCCTAATGTTACTCCAAAAGCTTAAAACAGAAGATGCACCAAGTGCTACTTTGTAAGCAACTTTTCATAGTAAGAGACTTGGAGAATAGAAAGAATAAAATGCCTGAACAGTTTCTTTACAGAAATCTATTTGATGTTTCAGAAATCTGAAGCAATATTCACTTTAATAATTAAGGAGTGCATGTATGTCCTCAGTATTGAACACCAGTGGGAGATTTTTATCTGTCCATTTGGGGAAGAAGGAATCTCTGTACTTACCGTGGGCTTGTGTAGAAGAGAAAAAGGAGTTGGAAAAAAATCACATGAGTCATAATCACACTAA